TGATTGACATGTAAATGTCGACGTAAATTGTAAGGGAGGAAAGAAGTTCAGAGAAGTCAGCGCAAACTTATAGATCTATTGTGCCTCTTTCTGGAGTTATAACTCATCATACAGTCTCAGTGCTTCGACAAAAGCCTGTATCTGAGACGGTTTTACAGAGGTTAGTTCTCCATCTCCGATATCAGTCGTACCAAAGTTTATGGTTGTCGTCTCGGCGCATTCAGTGATGACGTGTGTGTTTCCCCATTTTCCCCACAGAATCCGCATTTACCGTTGTTTCTTAGCTTCACTCTACACAGATATTCATTGAGGAGACTGTTAAAAAACCCGTGACAATCCGAAAATTGTTCTTACTTAAATCAAGGAAAGTTTTTGCTTTTTCTCGGTCGTTCTGGTACAGTTAGTGGAGTGTTCCTTTACTAGCTAGATCGTTTTCTTTTTCATTGACTTTCTTTACCTAATTTCTTAAACTTCTCTAGAGATTATAGACATTCTTTGACCAACTTCAAATTGATAGTTACTGAGTTAATCGCTCTTAAGCCTGCTTGACTATCGGATAAGAATTGCATTCCTTCTTTCCGATAGTTCCTACCTAAGATAAGTGGTATGCATCTTTCGATGACGTAGATTTCTGCCTGAAAGATGCTAGGGTAAGTGCTCATTGGTTCGGAGTATTTAGTATTGGACCCAAATACCTACGTCCGAAGTATCTAAATAAGTACCGTATGTAGATACATATAATGTATTACAAATTCTACTTATCTAATAATCTACTTATTTCAAGATAAAATATACCATAATAATATAAAAAATACTTGTATATAAATAAGTACGTATACATAAATATAATGTATTACAAATTTATCCACTCACCCCAAAATAAAGATATACATCCGCAATTTTATTAAATGCTCGCAATTTAAATACATAAACCTATTCAAAATTCAATTAACTTTTTTAATAACAAAAATACGCTCTACCTCTTCCCCTTTACGTCCTCCCCGTACCCCCCTTTACCCCTCCCCATTCTCCCCCAGCCAGCCTCGTTACAGCTCGCCCATAAAAGTTGTTAATTCGGCGCCAATGAAAAATTAAATTCCGCCCTAAAAACGGGCGGCCAAACGGGCAAAAATAATAATAAAAAATGGCAGTTTTCATCAAGCTCCCCTCTCCAGGGTTCTACCTCCCCCCCCCCCTCGCATGAGCCACCTACAGCCTCCCTTTTATGATTACGAGCTGGAAATCAAAAGCAGGCGAGTCGAGCCGAGCGGCGCGCTGTAGAAATGTTATAACGGTTGACTAATTTTCGATTTGCTTACATAAAATTGAACGAAAAAAAAGGGGGCCAAAATAACAGAGTTAAAATAATACGGCGGGAGATGCCTAACTGGTCCAGTTCCCAAGATATTATTACTATAACAGCAACACTTATCTAATACTAGGTATAGTAAGTATATCCGCATATTTGCGAGAATTCCATTTTACCTGATGCTGCGCATACATCTGTGGTTTATGGCTGGGGTCGTTGACTTTTTGACTTCAGAATCAAAAGCCATCACGAGATACCTAAGATCTGTTCAGCAAAAATAAAAATATAGAGGGTGGTACGAAATGTATTCTGGAAACTTAGGAGATAATTTTTTTTTCTGCCAGATAAAAATAAATAAAGTTCATAAAAATGTATGCCCTAAAATCAGTGGCGGATACAGAGGGGGGGCTCGGCACCTCCACCCCCCTAAAATCTATAAATTGGGTTAAATATTAGGCTTTTGGGTTAAAAATGGCGCCTTAAAAAGCAAATTCTACATTACTTTTTATTTGGGCTCCCCCTAAAATAAATTCTTGTATCCGCCCCTGCCTAAAATGCTTAGTTTCGGAGATACAGGGTGTAGAAGTTTCATTTTTATTTCGTAGAAGTTTTATTTTGATTTTAACATTGGAAATGTTTATATTCGTATATGGGGACTAAATTTCGAGTTTTCTTTCAAGGTCGTCAGCAACGGTGTCGCACTAGCCGCACAGTCGACCAAATTAAAGCATCAAAACGTGATGTCTAATTTAGGTGAACTGGCCTGACAGCACGAAACTCTCGGCCATATACGAGGGTTATATATATATATATTACTTGACGACTATGCTACGGGGGGCGATTATAAAATTAAATAGATTGATATTTGCAAAGGTTACAAAACAGTACTATTTTCGTAATTTTTGATTTGGATTGTGACAATTATTTATGTGGTTTGTAATGAAACGATATTTTTATTTAGGTATTGATATATTTCAGAAAGGGATTTAAGGATTAAAAGATATAATATATTTACTTAATTTCATGGTATCTGCATTAAAAATCAAGGCTATTTTTATAAGTTGTTATAAAATAGTTTATGAATATTTAAATATTTAAACTAACCTAAAATAAAACAAAATAACATTGAACTACCTTCTATTAATTGTTTTTTTTTAATTATGTTTATTTTTTCTTCTAATCATTATTAGTTATTATTAAGAATGGTGTTTTTATATCTAGTTTAGCTGCAAATATATAACGTTAATTATGTTTTATATGTGATGTTATCATCAAAATAAAAACACTAAATCACCACAATACACCAAAACACTTTTACTTTTACACTGGACGCGCGTTTCGCTAACCATGTTAGCATCATCAGCAGATGATTATAAACTAAAGTACAATCTACAAATTACAAATTTATCTACACACAAAAATAAAACCACAAATTTATTAGATGCTAGCAATTGATATACATATACGCCTACATTGTCAGTATATTTTTTTAGTACTATAGATACGATTTATTATTATTATTATTTTTAATTTTCTTCGTTTTGAGGGTTAATACCTGTATAAACGTTGACTATCACTATACCATCCGTATCAACTCCCTTCCGTTTCCCTTCCGTTTACGTAAAATATTATATTATGTAAACGAATAAGACAATGCACACTATCCGTTCCGTTTCCCTTCTGTTCCATATATTTTCCTTCCATACATATTTTTGGCGGACGGACTGAAGTATATCGGAAACAACATTGCCAAGTTCTTACATTTGTACCAGCTCTGTTAACACTTTGCTGATTATCTATTTATTCTTTCAACTCCTAATTAAATCTAATACCTTCTCCAAAAGATACAAATAAGATTAAAATAATTAAAACTTTCGTAATTATATAAATTGTAAAATAAAAAGCATGGAACTGATACGGAAGGGCAGCATTAAGGTTGATTCTCACTGTACCTTACGTATCAGCTCCCTTCCGTTTACATAAAATAATGTCATGTAAATGAATAGGACAATGCACACTATCCGTTCAGTTTCCCTTCCGTTCCATATCCTTTCCTTCCATACTTTTTTTGGCGGACGGACTGAAGCGTATCGGAAACAGCTTTGTCAAGTTTTTACATTAGTACCAGCTCTGTTAACATTTTGTTGATATTTATTATTCTTTCACCTCTTAATTAAATCTATTATCCTTTTCAAAAGAAACAAATTTTTAAAATAAAACTTTCGTAATGATATAAATTGTATAATAAAAAGTATGGAACTGATACGGAACAGAAGCTTACGTATACCGTCAATACAATATGGAATGGAAACTGAAGGTATTTTTTAGGTATAGTGAGAATCAACCTTTAAGGTTGATTCTTACTATAGACACTGAAGGTATTCTCACTATACCTTCCGTTTCCATTCCATATCCATTCCACATCCGTTCCGTATTTTTTATTGTATTGACGCTATCCGTTCCGTATCAGTTCCATACTTTTTTGTACAATTTGTATCATTACGAAAGTTTTATTTTAAAAATTTGTATCTTTTGAAAAAGGTAATAGATTTAATTAAGAGGTGAGAGAATAAATAAATATCGGCAAAATGTTAACAGAGCTGGTACTAATGTAAAAACTGACAAAGCTGTTTCCGATACGCTTCAGTCCGTCCGCCAAAAAAAGTATGGAAGGAAAGGATATGGAACGGAAGGGAAACTGAACGGATAGTGTGCATTGTCCTATTCATTTACATGACATATTATTTTATGTAAACGGAAGGGAAACGGAAGGGAGCTGATACGGAAGGTACAGTGAGAATCAACCTTAATGCTGCCCTTCCGTATCAGTTCCATACTTTTTATTTTACAATTTATATAATTACGAAAGTTTTAATTATTTTAATCTTATTTGTATCTTTTGGAGAAGGTATTAGATTTAATTAGGAGTTGAAAGAATAAATAGATAATCAGCAAAGTGTTAACAGAGCTGGTACAAATGTAAGAACTTGGCAATGTTGTTTCCGATACACTTCAGTCCGTCCGCCAAAAATATGTATGGAAGGAAAATATATGGAACAGAAGGGAAACGGAACGGATAGTGTGCATTGTCCTATTCGTTTACATAATATAATATTTTACGTAAACGGAAGGGGGAAACGGAAGGGAGTTGATACTGATGGTATAGTGATATTTTACGTTTATACAGGTATTAACCCGCAAAACGAATTATCCGCCAAAAAAATATATGGAAGGAACGGATATGGAACGGAAGTGAAACGGAATGGATAGTGTGCATGCATTGTCCTATATATTTACATGATATAATATTTTATGTAAAAGGAAGAGAAACGAATCAACCTTTACGTATAGCGTGAATACAATCAAAAATACGAAACGGATATGGAATGGAAACGGAAGTTATAGTGAGAATCAACCTTAAGCCAATCATTATGCATGGCTCTGTTATACCAACAGAAACTGGTAGCTGGTGAGTATAATGGCTGCTTGACTATTGATTTATTAATATTTTTTTTTTTTTTTTTTTTTTTTTTTTCACTGCTCAGAACAGGTTTAAAGCTGCCTTATCGGTCCATGGGGACAAGATAAGGTGCTATTGTTAATCACCTAGAAAGGAACGAACAATGTTAGCAGCATCAAGCAGCACAGATTTCTGCATTAGGCGGTAAGTATTTTCAGGTATTCCAATTACTTTTAATTGTTCTTTCAGGTTGACCGGGATAATTCCAATGGCTGAGACAATCAAGGGGACTACCTGGACCGATTCCATTTGCCATATATTTTTTATTTCTATTCTCAAATCTTGATACTTTGTTATTTTTTCTGTAAACTTGCTTTGTATATTGTTGTTGCTAGGAATAGAAATATCAATTAGTAAAACTGTTTTTTTAATTTTATTTATAAGCGTGATGTCCGGTCTGTTACTTCTAACGGTTTTATTTGTTAAGATTGTTTTATCCCAGTATATTTTAAAACTATTATTTTCGACTACGGGTGGTGGATGATATTTGTAGTAGGGCTCTTGGATTTCTCGGTCAATGTTGAATTGTTTGAGGATCTCCAAGTAGATGATTGATGCGACTCTGTTGTGTCTTTCCAGATACTTTGTACTCGCAAGATTACTGCACCCTGATAAAATGTGTTCTATGTTTTCACTTCCAGAATCACATCTACGGCATTTGTCTGATATATTCTCCTTTAGGATGAGTTTCCGGTAGTTGCGTGTTGGAATAACTTGGTCTTGCATAGCCACTATGAATCCCTCCGTTTCTGGGTAGAGATAACCCGATGTTAACCAGTGCAATGATGCCGCCTTTTCAATGTGATGTTGATCTAGCTCATTTGGGTACCGTCCGTGTAACTCCTTGGCTCCCCAAGTAGCTATTTTATTAGTGATTGATGTAGGAGTTGGAAAAGCATCATATTGTTTACTACTGAGGTTCAAGGGGGTGTATTTGACATCAGCTGAAGACACCGTGACGTAAAGGTTGCTGTTCTTGGTATAAAAGTATTATCTGAGGCTCTTTATTTGCTCCCGACAGACATTAACAACAACCAGTAAACCTCTACCTCCAAGATTTCGAGGGAGGGTTACCCGTTCCGTAGCGCTTCTTGGGTGGTGATTTCTAAATTTGGTTAAGGTTGTTCGTACCAGGCGATTTAGGGATTCCAAGTCTGTATGGGTCCATTTGACTATTCCAAAAGAATATGTAAGAACCGGTAGGGCATAAGTGTTTATTGCTTTAAAGAGGTTCTTAGAATTCAAACCTGTCTTTAGAAGGGAGGTAAGTCGCAGTCGGAAGGCGGTCGATAGGCGGTTTTTAATAATTCCATGTTCTATTTTGTGTGTTTGTAGCATTCCAAGATATTTATACGGCTCAGTCGACATTGCGGAGATAATAGTTTTCTCATCTAGATTCAATTCTGGTGTTTCGCATAGTTTTCCTCTTATGATTGAAACAGTCTGACATTTGCTCGTACCAAAGGTCATTCCAATATCTGCGCTGATTTTATGAACGGTACGCAGAAGGTTTTCAAGTTGGTTTTTTGTTGCAGCATATATCTTCAAGTCATCCATGTATAGTAGGTGTGTAATGAGATGACGTCTGTTTCTCGTTCGTAGTGAGAATCCATAACCTGTTTCATTGATTATCCGCGATAGTGGATTTAAGGCTAGACAAAACCAAAGGGCGCTAAAAGAATCCCCTTGGAATATCCCTCTACGAATTGGAATTTTTGGCGATGTTATGTCAAAGGGAGCAGACCTGAGGTTGAGGGAGGTCGTCCATGAAGGCATGGTCTCTTTAAAGAATCGGCAGATTTTGGGGTCAACATTGCAGATTTCTAGAACTTGCAACAGCCAGCTGTGTGGTATGGAGTCGAACGCTTTCTGATAGTCAATATAGCCCATGAAGAGATTTCTTTTGTTATGTCTGGCTTGCTACAAAACCACCGAGTCCATTACAAGCTGTTCCTTAGAGCCCATTGCCCTGCTTTTGCAACCTTTTTGCTCTTCATGTAGGATGTTATTGGTGACCAGGTAGGTATATATTTTACTGCTAATGCAGCTTGAAAATATCCTATAAATTGATGGAAGGCAGGTGATGGGTCGATATTGGGAAGGATTATCTGGGTTTTTTGTTTTTGGTAGAAGGTGAGTAATTCCCTCCGTTAGAAAGACGGGCATTTTATTGGGGTCAATCAAAGTTTCAGTAAATTCTCTCGCTAGGTGGTTGTAAGTAGCGGAAAATTTCTTGAGCCAAAAGTTGTGAATTCCGTCATGCCCTGGACTTCTCCAATTAGGTAATTTTTTTATTGCACTTTCAACGTCGCGCAAGGTAATTATTGTGTCTTCCATTCTTACGTTCTGATGTTTTTCACGCTCCTGGTTTATCCATGCGGCATTTATTTGATGCTCTCCTTGAGACGACCAGATGTTGTTCCAGTATTGATTTAGTTGGTTTGAGTCTATGGCATTTGGATGTTGGGGGTTTTCTTTATTTGCCTTATTTCCAAGGTTGCGGTAGAAGCACCTCTCGTTTTGGGTGAATTGGGCGTTGTGCATCCGTCGTAGGTGGCTTCGTTTGTACCGTTTGAGTTTGTCTGTATGTACTGCTAGCTGTTGTTTTAATGAATTTAGAGTATCGATAACAAAGTCTTTCTGGGTTTGGCCGCTTAGTTGACGGAATCTAGTCGTTATGTCTTCTGATATCTTCTTTAAAAGGGTTTACTATCGTTTCCTTTAGAAAGTTGTTGCATGCGACCTATGTCTCTACGTAATCTGCTGATTTTGTCAGACATTCTTTTTTCCCAGGGTGGTATAGGTTTCTTATTTTCCTTAGGACGTTGGGCTACATCTTGACCATTTTGTGTAAGACAAGTTAGGGCCGCACAGTATATATGTACATGTATTTCTTCTAAATTGAAACTGGTTTTCAGTTTATCACATAGGATAGCGTTAACTCTCTCGATGATTGTTGTTGTTTGTGCTGTGTATTTTATTTTCGGAAGTGATGGTCTGAGGTTGGGATTGGAGCCATAAAACTTAATTAGGTTTGATTCGTATAGATAATCCAATTGGGTTTGTTCGGTAGGTAGTGTAATCTCTGTCGGTAGTGCAGTCTCTGTCTCAGCTTCACGTATGCTTTCGCTCTGCGGTGGTTGTGGCGGTATGTCAATAGTTGTTTCTGGGTTGATTTCTAGTCTTATTTGTTCCTTGATTCTGGCCAGTGTCTCTTGAGAAAGAAGATTCCTACTTACTATGGTCCTGCGTTGATCTGCGATGCGTTGCTCACTTAAGTGTTTAAGGTTTGGGAAAACCTTTATAAATTGTGCATACAATTTGCCACGGTACATTGTAAAGTCCGTCTCCAGGTTAGTAACTTTATAGTACAGTCGCATGATTTCACTGTTTTCGGCGTTGGTCCATTTCTTGCGACGTACCGTTGGGTTCGTACCATCTTCGGTGGGAACAGGTGTGTCCGGTTCAGCACTTGAAGATGGAGGATGTCCTATTTCTTGCGTTTGGGTGAGTTATTATTATTATTATTATTATTATTATAGTATATTCTAAGCAAGTGGATACAATATAATTAGTGATACCTAACAATGCTCAATTATCAAGCTACGGACCAGTTCGTCGGCGTCCCTCGGCCCGGGAAAAATGAAATTCATTCCGGGGCATTATAAAAAATCATTGATTTAGTGCAAGACTTGGCAGTTGCAGGGCGGCAGCCAAAGGGGGCGGCGGGTAGCGGGCGGCGGCATCGGCCGAACGGCCGCACCAATGGCGTGGCGAGGCCCGCCTTTGTAAATATGCCCTCTTATGTTTTTATTTCGTCTTTTATGAGGGTTTTATTGCCCCTTCTACGAGACGGGCCCCGGAGAGGGGCGGGGCCCGCCAAGATTATCGTCGGCTCTAATTTACGGCCCCCCGGGGGGCGAAGGAGAGCCGCCCCTGTTCGCAGGCGATGATGGTCGAGTTCGGGAGTCTGTTAAAATACTATAATAAGCAGTGGCACGTCTATGTTTTAGTTAAATAGGGGATTCTATTTCATGATTATTTTAGGGGATAAAAAGTAAGAGAAGGGCAACTACTATGTAAAAAAAAATTAAAAGGCCATACCATAACATGGTATACCTACCGATGCTTCATCAGCATTTGAGCCAAAAACTAAATACTAGAAAAGAAAATAAAGTGCTCCTACTCTAACTGTACCAGAACTGTTCTGCTTCCCAAGTAGAAACCAACTTAAAGCAGAACTCAGGAACCTGGAAGATTCCCTCAGTAACCTGGAATGGGAATCATCCAACGGTCTAAGACACTCGAAGAAATTTTTCAGAATTTACGACCGAGAAAAATCAAAGATTTTCGTTGATTTAAGTAAGAGCAATCTTCGTATTGTCACGGGGTTTTTTATCAGGACACTGTCTCCTCGATGAACACCTCGGTAGATTGAAGCTAAGAAACAACGACAAATGCAGATTCTGTGGGAAAAAATATACTGGCTTTTGTCAAAACCCTGAGACTGTATGATGAGTTTTAACTCAAGAATGGGGGATTCAATCTAATAACAGAGCAACTGAACAAGCAGAGAAAGTAGCAATGGAAATGTAAAACAAGGCAGAATGCAATATGGCACAAGTTTTCTATCATTTGCTTTGTATTTCTTATTCTGGTATGTATTCCTGTTTCTTCTTTGTATTTATATTCCTGTAGTATGGTTCTTTTATGTAATACCGTATATTTATTCCTATGTATCACCATTTTATCGCAGCAGTTTTACACAAACACGTACCTATTTTAAATTAAAGTACATATTTTTCTTTTGCATTTGTTTTAGTCATGTTGTACCAATACCTACCACAATTTGTCCAGTACCAGCAGGTCACTTTTGCTTGATTTTCTGTATCCGCGTCTCCGCGTGTTCTTATTCTCTTGCACATGCACATGCCAGGAGCGCTATGCTGGTCACGGCATCGACAATCGTCGGTATCGGTAAATTACCGACAGCTATCGGTACGTACAGCAAAGGTACAGCCAATGAGCGTCGTGTTAAGGTAATAATATTATACAGGGTGAGTCATAAATAAGTGCAAACATTTTCAGGGCCGGTAGATCTCGATAAAAGAAACATACTTTGTCTTTACCGCTTTTCAAATAAGTCCAAAATAACAGAGTTATATTATTTTGAAAATTTCTAATTTTTTTTTTATCAAACGTTACAAAAGTATTAATTTTTGCGACGTGATTGACAATATAAAAGTAATTTTAACGCCTAAGCATAAAAGCACATAAAAGTCCGAAAATATATTAGATATTAAACTAGACATAAAGTGTTAAATTCAACGAGCGTAACCATTTTTTTTTATCTTTATGACTTTTAAATCTGTTTATATTATTTGGAACGTTTGAAATTGTTTAAAAAAAAATTTTCTATTCGGAGTAAAAGTGACTTTTTGTACCTCAGCTGTATGTCAAACGTACAGCTGTATGTCCAAGAAAAGTGTTATTTTTACTCCTAACAAAAAAAATATACCATTTTTCTGCATTTTTGCTTTTATTTACTACTTGTCAAAGATTAAATGTCAAAAAATTAAGAATTTAGATACGTCAATTTGACTTACCTGCTTCAGTAGCGTATCAGATGTTTGTGTTAATAAATAACAATTAACTTATCTATTTTAATTAGGATTACATATATTTTTATACCAATTTTAACACGACAACGTAAAATCAACAAATTATTGAGTCTACCCTAAGTATCATATTTTCACACGTTTTAAATAAAATTAGAACGGCACTGATAAACCGGAATTTAAGGCGTCCATTTTTGGTCCCCATCGCGTTCGACCTAAGTTTTTTTTATATGCCCCTTCCTTAATATTCTTATTCAAAGGTTGAATTAGACTTTTGACTGTCCACACGAAACCCAGCAAAAACCTAACAATATCATAAATTGAGCAAATATAGTTAATATCAAATAAACTTTTAGTCACCTTATTAAGCAAAATTATTTTACAAATTATCTTTTAATCAAAATATTTTAGGAAACATAAACATCAAAAAAACATTTTACATTCAACAAAACTCACCTCCTTAACAGCACTTAAGGGAAAGAGCCATTACTACCGCTTTTCCGTTCAAAATATTCTAATAAAGTTAGGTTAGGTTGTGACCTGTGCGATGAGTTCTTTGCAACGGCTATTAAGCTATCTTGTACACTTCGCACTAAAAGAGGTTCTAAAAAGAACACTGTTTGACTGCCAGTTCTGCTAGTAAAAAATTATTAGCTAAGTATCACAACACTATTTAAACCAAAAACTCTGTGATACAAAACTAAAGTGTCAAAACGAATGACAATGTCAGGAAATAAATAAATAAATATGGCAACTTGACATTTTTTACAGCAGAGCTACCACCTGAGTCTCCAGCAGGAAATTTAAATTCCAGTTAGTCAGCTCATTATGTCATATTATGTCCATGGTTGGCAACAATGAATTTAAAAATCTCACCCTCGATTACGTAACTACAATTTGAATTGGTATTAAACATATCTAGGTAGGTAAGCAAATTTGTATGCAAGTCATAGTAAGCCAGAATGTTGGTTATAAATCGACTGTAACGATAAAGTGGAAATTAATAGAAACCAATGATATTTTTAAACATTAATAGAATTAAATTATAATGCTCAACTTTCTATTTTTTTTATTTTTTTTTTGTTTCAGTATCGGAATGCAGTTTGTGTGACCTCTACCCTTTGTGCCTTGTTTGTGATATACCTAATCTTCCTTTCAGCACTTCATTTATATATCTAATAAATAATAATAATAACAATGTACAGTCACAGGTTACCTTCATAGAAATTCATATTAAAATTTGCCCACTATATACTTAATCAGATAAGAATCAGTGGCCTTGATATGGTTTAGAGCCAGTCAACATCTTGGTCACTCTCAAATTGAGCTGGCGATTGCCTTGTAGCAGAGCCATCATAAAACAAGAAGAAGAAGAACTACGATGAGAATTATCTACAGACAAAACCACTCAAACTTCATACGGCGAAACTACATTCGCATATCTTCATCATGCCCGGACGATTATCGTGTCGTTTCATCGCAGAGTCATCTTCCGCGCCCTTTTCGCGGCGCAATAAAACAAAATCCGCAGCACGCGGCGCGCTCTTAGGGGAGGCCGGGGTAATACCGGCCCCGAACCGAACGCTCTCTGAAGAAACTCCACCCCTAGGGGTGGACCAACCCCTCGCCGGTCCAGGGGGTTGCCAACGAATACATCAGTCGTGACAGGACTATTACCGGGCGCGTATGTATGCGTGACTGAGAGAGGGTGGTTGTTCACAGGTGGCCGGTCGCCGGAAAACAGCCGAAAATCGGAAAATTTGCGGAAACGGAACTGAATTTAATTTCAAGAGGAGCGAGATGAGTGGTGTTAAAAGTCGGGTGATTATCGAAGTTTTGGTTGAAGACAAGTGATTTTTTTTTTTGATTGGTACACTAAATACTTCAGGTAAATATTTTTTAAATTATATTACCAGAAGCGGAACACCGAAAAAAAAAGAAAAGAACAGTGGTTTTCAAAATTTATGCAAACATTTTTTTAAGTAAAATAACTCGGCTATTTTGGAAGTTATATTTGGACTTGTTTGAAAAACGACAAAGAAAATATCTATAGTCTGTCCAACGAGAAGATCCTTGACAGTGATAGATGTGTCTGTCATTTTAATTTCAAAGTAGTTTATTTTATTTTACAAAGAAATAAGTTGGTACAACTGGAACGCATAGCAGGAAATTAATATATGTATTTAAAATTTGACTGACAAGTAACTTCAAAATATTGTGAGAAAAACTGTATAAAACTGAAAAAATGTAATCGAGTTATTTTATTTAATAAAAAATGGTATGTGTTAATACAAAACAAACAAAAACAAGACACCACATACCAAAAAATATAAAAAAAGAACTATTTCTTACTTTCAAGCTTTATGAAACTTCCCGCATTTATGATTATATTTATCAATATAACTTATGTATAAATACAAATTTGTAATATTCCGCAGGAATAAATAAAACGACATAAATAAAATAAACTATTTTATTAATAATAACACTTACCAAATTTTATACCTCACAGGTTGATTAATTTTTTTTAAACCAGTACCTTTTGACATTATTTTTCTGCAGTACTAAAATCCATTATTTACCTATCGTGTGATGTCGATATTTTACAGCTACTCCAGTTTCTAGTATGTGTTTAGTATGGTCATTCTACCATATTCGGGATGCACTTATCTACGACGAGATTGTATACGAACTTTATTGATAGTAACTTTATTGGTGTATCTGTATAAGACCACAGTATAAGACTTTCTGCCTGGGCAGCGAGTATTAACCATAAACTGTGCTCCGGGTTCTACAGTTAATTTTCACTCGATTTTTCATCAACTTAACTTCAAAAGACACAAAACACACGTAATAACACGAATCAAAATGCATCATCTTCCAAAACGCAGGGTATTTGACAAAAGTTGTCACAAAATTATAACCTATAATTTGGCAAGACTTTGACAAACGTCAAAAATCTAAAGGCGAGTTCATACGCATCGGCGTCCGTTTGTCGTTCATCGTTCCGTCAAACCAATAAAATTGAAATACGATCTGTCATTTTTGAAATAAACCAATAAAACTGGTTAAAAACAACAAGTGCCGACGCATGATGAATTTATATTTAAACCCATCCATAGTTAACTTAAAAATTATTGGAAATTTTTTTTAGTAAAACAAATAGATTGGTATGGGACGTCATGTGCTTTGTTTCTGTCGTCGTCTGTCGAAATCTTACCTGAAAAAAACAAAGTATAGTATATTGTTTTATTAGTAGTAAAAATGTACTAGGCTGTACGTTTCATACATTAACATAAACGTTCCAGATAATATCAAAATATTTAATCTACGACAATGTCATTATGACACATTTAACATTGTCATTTGGATGTCATTATGGCTTTCATAATAGCACTAGTGCTATTATGAATTCATAATAACACGCAAATTTTAAAATAAGATACAATCAAAAAAAGGTACCTAAATACGTTTATTTATTGTAAACATTAATTATAATATCAGTACAATTGGTTAAATTAATTCGAGACGGTGGCAGGTGAATTGAATTTTTAGAGAGTAAATTTATTTCCTTAGTGCTTCAACTTGTTGAAGATCCATCATTGCCAGAAATGTTACCCAAAATATTACATGACACTTTTTTCTTATTTTCTTTGGAATTTTCTATATAGCTCTCTGCCATTGTGTTAGAGCGCCAACCACCATGTCTTTTAACAGTTAATAAATCCACTCCTGAATCTGCAAGCAACGACGCAGACGATCTACGGAAACAATGTCCAGTGTATTGTTGTGGATTTGGAAGACTTAGGAACAATGCTATTTTATACGGCATTTTCCCTAAAGTATTAATGCAACGGGTTGCTTAATACATTTTCCATTTCTGTACCCCACAAAAAATCAAGTATGCTCTGTGTTGCTTGGCCGCATAGTTATATATCTTCGAACCATTTCCACCATATTTATTCCTTCAACATTCCCTTTCGTTATAAAAAAATCTCGTGATATCTTTTTTTTTTTCCTAAATGGAATAATGACATGAATGCATTGTCCTTCATCTTTAACATTTTGCAGCTGCAAATTTGTCAACTCGATACGCCGGCAGGCTCCCGCAAGTCCCACTATCAATGAAACTTTTGTCAGGAAATAAGTTTTATCATCGGCTTCCAACAAAAAACGAGTTATGTCTTCTTTTCTTAAAATTCTCGATTTTTTTGACCGAAATCCTTCCGATTTTCTTTTTAGAAATGCAATTAAATGGACGTACTTACTAATATCTGTATTTTTCTTTACTGATATAACTGAACGTAGCATGGAATAATATACCCAAAGTGATGAAGCCTTCCTATGTTTTGAAAGATGTTCGAAATATGCCAGGAAAACCTTTTCGTTACTTCTATTCTTGATTCCTTTCCCTTTACACCAATCTTCAAGTTTTACATAGGCTTGCTCGTACGTTTGTCTTGATTTTTCGGGAAGTAGGGAATCGTCAACGTTTTGCGCAATGCCTTCAATAGCCGAAGGGACACTTTCAGAATCAGAATCACCCATATTAATATTATTTTTTGCTTTTTGCTAAAACTGAACGTTTAACACAAAATTGAACATCAATAATTGAGTTGTCAAAGTCAAAATGGAAACAATCAACAAGCACGATTACCACGGCGTCGACTAATATGGGCGCCTGATAATTTTGAATTTTAATTTTTATGAGGATATCTCTGATATTGTAAACTAAATCAAATCTCTTTGGATCGTCCCTCGTGTCGCGTCGTAGATTAAATTTTGAATGATACACGTTCGATACGAACTTTTTAATGAAACTTGTGTAACTAAGCGTTGTTACGCGTGTAACTTAACGTTACACGCGTTTCATTATGATGTTCGTATCGAACTTGTATCATTAATAACTATAAAACTAAGTAAGTAATTATATATCAAGAAACTATTGTTACGCTCGTTGAATTTGACACTTTATGTCAGTTTAATAATATATTTTCGTACTTTTATGCTTAGGCGTAAAAAGGCTTTACTTTTATGCCTAGGCGTTAAAATGATTTTTTTATACTGTCAATGACTGAAAAATTAATACCTTTGTGACGTTTGAAAAAATATTATTTCTTTTATCGATACGTACAAGCCCTGGAAATATTTAGACTTATTTAAGCCTCACTCTGTATAGTAAATACATATGTAATTATGAAGAATATTTCTAGAAGTATTGAACCATTATATACAAGTATAATGCCAATTAAAATTTTAGTTACGTAATGGAGAGCGCGAAATTTAAATTTAAATTTAAATTGTTGCCAACCATGGACATATTCGGCCCATGGACATATTCGGCGCCGGGTTGACTAACTGGAATTTAAATTTCCCGCTGGGATTCAGGTGGTATATCTGCTGAAAAAATGACAAGTTACCACATTTATTTATTTATTTCCTGACATTGTTATTCGTTTTAACATATTAGTTTTGTACTACGAATCTTTGGTTAAAATGAATTGTATTCTAATACCTTTAACCTTAAAAATGTTTACTAACACACCTTGCAGTCGAACATTGTTCTTTTTAGAACCTCTTTTATTGCGAAGTGTACAAGATAGCGAATCGGCTTATTAATAAATTTTAAAACAAAATATGATGTATTTTTCTTTTTCTTTCATAAATTTATATTGTTTGACTTACTACTTAACTTTACTGAATATTATGTAATTTTTGTGCTGTGATAGATTGTATTGTTTATTTTTGGATACTAAATTTTCTCAATTCTTTTGTGATATATAAGACTGATGAAGGCTGTAATGTGGGCCGAAACGGTTGTTCGTAGAATAAAGAAACATTTTTAAACAAAATAAAAACGTAATTTCAGCGTTTTAGCAACCTAATCTCCCAAGAAAATTAATTTAAGAATATTTCAATACATGCAAGGTTCAAGAACTTGAAATTTCCAAGTAGCTACTTATTTAGATAAAATATAATTCAATACTAATTTAATATTTTTTACTATGTTTAGATCATCAGAATTTTCTCGTTTTATCTTATTATTCTGGAGAAAAATTAGAATTGTGAGAACATTTGCAACAAAAAGAAGAAAAAACCCTCTTTCTGGGATATTTACGTTGCAGAGTAACTACCAACTCTACACACGGCAATTATTTTCAAATTACCAGTAGGTACCCTCAATCTCTATAATAGAGATATTTAATTATTTTTATAACGCCGTTTTTTTTATCGTTTGGTATAATAATATTCTGAGATACACCCAAAATCCTAATTGTGGGGGCAAAAGACGGGCCAAAAGTTTTGCTCAAAAAATATTTCCTGACCTTCATTCAGAATATTTTATGTATAGAAATTATATAACTAGCTCCATCATTGGTTGATACCAGAGTCTTAAATTCTTAAATCATTTCTAAAATCAAAATGATTTAGGTGTTAAGTCAAATTCAACATATTGTTACATTCATTTTATTTCAAGTCAAGTCATTTTTGTCAAGACTTAAATCAATATAACGTTATTTAAGTCGTTTTTATTATTCATTGTCTATATTTTTGACTTAAATCATGACGATCTGCAAGTTAAATCCATTAAAATGACTTAAATCAATATAATTACCCTCAAGACAACCAGAAATCGATTTAAGTACCATTTTTTAAATGTTAATATTAATTTTCTTGTATTACCAATTAGCGATTTGCTTACTAGTATCATGCTATTAATTTATTGTTTGTACAGATGAGACACATAAAATAAAACGGTTAATTTTCAGTACAACTATAGACGCAAAAATATGTTTTTTTTTTTAATAAAATGTAACCTACTTTGTAGTACTTATTACCATGTCTATTAAAAAGGGGTGATGTATTTTGATCACCATGTAATATATCGATGGCGTAAGCTAAGGGCTGGAGGATTTTAAGGTACTCTTCAATATATTCGAGATAAATTCCTTTGTTCGTCTTTCGGGCTAAATGGAATCGGAAATTCACTTGAAAGACAACAGACTCACTACGCACGCGTAACACGACAAATAATATAATCAAAAGCGGATCCGAGAAACTAACGTTTTATTTGCTAGTTGCTAGTAGCACAGAATATCTAGCTACGCAACAGAAGCCTCGTTACATGTATAAAATTGTAGGTAGCAAAAGGAGACAGGCTTTTAAAGCCTGTCTCCAAATCAGATATTTTGATGTGGTAGTTTCGCTACTACATAATAGAGGGCAATAAATTTAAAAGAAAACAGTTTTCTACAAACAAAATTTAAAAGAATTTTGTGCAGTGTTGCCATTGTGTAATTCATATCGTAATACTTCCTGATAAAGCCTACCTTCAAATTTGCTACATCTTTAAACATATTAAAATAGATCAGAGCTGATTTTTTTCACTTTGCCATGTTAGTTGGAATTAAATCTTATGAGCTAAATTACAATCACTTCCTGACGTTTGATTGTATAATTGAATCCTGAATTTTCATTGTAATTCGGCGACAATATAATAAGTATTGTTCTACTATTATGATACCACTTCCTGACGTTCGATTGTGTTCATACCAAGTTCATATCGTATAATCGGGAAAAAACGGCGTTAGTCATGGCTATGAAATGAATATCGCTGTCATTTTATATGTAAATTTATATGGGAAATGTCATAGTACCATATTACGATACATGGCGTTCGATTGGGCTTAAACTTGGTATACTATATCTTCAGTGACATTGTAATATCATGGTACCATGGAGCATATAAAGTGGTACCTTCTATAGTACCATACTTCTATAGTACCATATGCATTGATGACATAGCAATATTAGGTACATGGCGGCAATAGGGCTTAAACTTGGTATACTACGTATTTTCGGTGACATTGTAATATGATGGTACTATGATGCATATCAACTGGTACCTTAATATAGTACCATATTATGTACATGGCGTTCGATTGGGCTTAAATTTGGGATACTACGTATCTTCGGTGATATTGTAATATTATGGTACCATGGAGCATAATAAGAGGTACTATAATATAGTACCATATTACGATACCATTTCCTAGCGTTCGATTGGGCTTAAACTTGGTATACTACGTATCTTTGGTTACATTGTAATATGATGGTACTATGATGCATATAAAATGGTACCTTAATGTAGTACCATATTTCAATACCATTTCCTGGCGTTCGATTGAGCTCATATTTGATATATACTTGCGTATCTTTGATGACATTGCATTATTATGGTACCATGAAGCATATCAACTGGTACCATAATATAGTACTATATTACGTACATGGCGTTCGATTGCGTAGCTAGATATTCTGTGCTAGTAGTGTTAAGCATTGTCTTTGTATTCTGCTATTCCGCCGCCTAAAACAGTTTAAAAAAGAATGCTGCTGTTAAATAATTATCATAAAAATCTGACTTAAGCCTGTTATAAAAAGACTTAAATCTTTTTCTATTTCGGAATAAAGATTTAAATCACAAGTCGTTTTGAAAAAGTCTTAAATTTTAATTCTTAAGTCAGCTTTCGAAAAATGGCTTAAGTCATTAAAATGATTTAAATCAAAAACATACTTAAGTTTTCTGTGAGCTTGCAGCTCTGGTTGACACAAAATCTGATCACTTTAACTACCCCTCATCAAAATATTACCTAAGCTCACGTCCCTCATCTCCTCTTTACAGATGTTCCAAAACACGCTCCACCTGGTGGCCCACCGCACCAAGATGCTCAAGAGCCTGAACAACCCCCAGAATCCGTTCTCCATGGACAATCTCCTTGCCGGCAACGGCAAATCCTCCCCCGAGATGGACCTGGAAAGGGGCGACGAGATGGGCGACCGCGGCGGCTACAGCCCCCCGTCCCGCTACGCCAAGCACGAGGACGACCTAAGCGACCAGGTGTCCGAAGGGCGGCTCTCACCGGGGGACAGGGGCGGCGCGAGCGACTTGCTCAGCAGGTTCAGCTGTCTGCGCGGCAGGCTGTGTTCGAACTGTGGCCGGTTGGACTGTAACTATTTGCAATGCAGACTGACCAGTGAAAGTTTGATTAAGGAGACGAAACCCGTACTGAAGTTTAGTGTTAGTGCAATATTGGGAGACGAGAAGAGAGATGGTCAGAAAACGACTGGTAAGTTACTATTTCAGTTTAAAAAACCACTATTTCCATTGCTGTCTTATACCTTATCAGATCTATTGTGGTCCTCTCCTGATCTCTCTTCAAAAAGTCTAATATTTTGGAGTCTGAACCCTCTATATAGCTCTACAGGGTCCGGCAATAGTGCGTTGTGTATCTGTAGCTCTTAAGCGGCAGTTTCACATGGCAGTCAACTTCCATAGCAGCGACTGTTAGGTAGGCGTGGTTATACTGCCAACTGTGAATCATACGATTGCGATCGCAGTTGTCTCTTATAGCCATAAAGTATTACCAGAAAAAGTAAACCGACGAGTAACGACATTCCAGTTTTCAATTTTCTTTGTGGCTGCGCGAAATAAGTAGGCTATCTGTCATATGAAGAAGCGATGTAGCAACTGTTGCCATTTATCAAATATCTCTATATACTCTATTTCAAGTATGCCTCAAGCAACGAATCATTTTTTTAATTATTTATTAGCTGTAAGATATTTTATGCATTCAAATTTAGAAATAGGGATTAAACAAAACAAAAAAAAATACCTATAAAACTTATAATTCCTCCAGCACTTTACAAGGCGCTTCCCCGCCAACGACAAGGCATCTCCTAGGGGAAGAGGCTACTGGTTAACAACCAGAAAAAAATATACGCTTTAAAACTAAATCTTAAATAACTTAAAAACCATTTATTTTAGGGGTACCTATAGGAACACGTATTATAATCAAAAAGTATCGAATTAAAAAACCTTTTCACCTATATAGTGAAATAAAGAAAGTGGGTCTCCATTTGAAAAAATGATTTATGATAATTTATTAATCTCTCAATTCCACAACTGGTACAGCCAATATTATATGACACTCAAACAATTAATTTTTGAAACAGTCTTCTCTTTATGTCACAGTAGCTGTGGTAATCACTAAATTTGACGTTTAGGCTATACAATTTTTTTGACAGGCAATTTTTTTGGTACAAATATTTGAAATATTTTTTTCTCAAAAACGGTTAATGTTTTCTCTTAATCACATTGTATAACAATGATGTGCAAAAAATGTCCGATCTATAACCAACTTCTAATGCACACCAAACCAAACCAAACCGCTCAGCCTGTGACACCCTGTATATATGGTCTAAAATTATCCATTATTTACCTATCGTGTGATGTCGATATCTGTGTCGATATTTTACAGCTACTCCAGTAGTATATGTTTAGTACGATCCTTGTAGCATATATCAACTTTATTGATGATAACCTAAGGGGCAAACCGCTGCCAAAAATGGTGTACAATAAATACCAATTTTGGGAAAAAAGTACCAAAAATACCAAATTATTTCCAAAAAAATACCAAATTAGAGCCAAAGATACCAAATTAGTGTTATTCTTTTTAGTATCTAAACAATTTAAGATATTTGGAGCTTTAGGGCCTATTCACGTCAAACTACGATCATTAGGTCAGAAAAACATAGGGTAAGTCCGGTAGAGATGCCCCACTTTTCTTTTGGGGCTAATAATACATATTGGTAGTTAATTTTAAATGAAACTAATGATGCAATCCTAAACTATCTTTAATAATAATTCATAATAGGACTAAGATAGTAATATAATAAGTAAGTATATATAATAATAAGAGAACAATAAAAAAAAAGAAAATTGGCCATCTCTCCCTACGTTGCGGGAGAGATGGCCTTCCAACATGGGAGAAATGCCCCGCAAAAAAATACATATACATATTGGTTAAATATCTAAGGTTATTTTTTATTTTTTTAACTAATATCCAAAAATTGAGGATGGCCCTATGCTTGCTTTTTCTGTCTTGTTGTTTGCCTCCCTACGTCTCAAAGTCCTTGCAGGGGTTCCAAAAGCATGCATTATGCTTTTATGCCCATTTGGTCGGTATTAATGGCTTGCAAAGCAGCAGCCAATGATTTTTCAAACCACTGAGCGCTTTCGGGACATTTTATTTTATATTCAGAAGGCATGATTAAAAAAAGTTACTTTTTAGTAAATAAATTAGTAGGGCATCTTTGCCAGCTTTCTATGTGGAATCTCTCCCAATACGATGGGAGAGATGCCCCACTACAAGGTTTTAAAATGCAGCGACATATGATTAATTTTTTGAAGTTATGATACTTCACGAAGCATGTATTTTAATATAAAATGGCATGAAATACCAAAAACTTACATAATATTACGTTATTCCCACGCGACCTCTGACAGTAAAAAAATATGTACTTATATAAAAACAATTCTTTGTAAAAACTAGCCTATCTTTTTATTGACATTCAAATTATGTCAGACCATAATAGCAGCAGGTGAACTACTGCCGTATCTAGCGGGAAGCAACTGATAAGTCACATGATTAGATATTTACACGCTGTGGCCATCTCACCCGGTGGGGCATCTGTACCGGACTTATCCTATAAGCTTAATTCGAGCTCCAAAAAAGTACGGTTCTAGAACGGTTTAAAACAATCGCACAGTCTACGACAATCATTCATGTCAAAAGTTGCAAAAAATCATATTGTGCCAGTGTTTTGAACCGTTCTAGAACCGTTCTTTTTGGGAACTCGAATAAAGCTACTGTCATGACACGTTTAAAAAGTCATTTTAACGGTTCCGTTAACATCGATACTTCAAAAATTTATAAAATAAAAACTAGACATAAAAAGTAATTGAATTTTTTGTTATTTGCGCTATTTTTTACTTATAAGCTCAAAAATATAATTATATGCACAAGAAAAATAAGACCTGTCGTTTTTTGAAATAAACCAATAAAACTGGTTAAAAACAACAAGAGACGACGCATGACGGATTTATATTTCAACCCATCCATAGTTAACTTAAAAAATAGTAGAAACTTTTCTTAGTAAAATAAATAGATTGGTATGGGACTTCATCTGCTTTTCTGTCATTGTCTGTCGAAATCTTACCTGAGAAAATGAGTATATATTAAAAATCAAACTATATTAACAAACGAAAACGAAAGAGATCTCTGAAATAATCGTTCCAGGTCCAATAAAGCGCAAATTTCGGCCGGTTTATGCATGAGTTAAGGGACCGAGAAGGAGTGTGAAGGAGGCGGGCTCCTGTGGAGAGAGAAAATAAAATGGAAATGAGTCGGAGGGCGGCCGAGCACCGCCGCCCTTGCCGCCCTCACCGACTGTTTGGCGGCGCGGCGCCGGTTTTGAATTAATGCGAATTATTTCTAAGGTTTTGAACGCGCGGAGAGCCGGGCACGCCTGCCGATGACGTTTTTAAAGCGGAAAACATGGGGGTTTGGGGTAGAAAGAGCGAAACGAACAGAGATATGGGGGATAGGATAACAGGGAAAGGATAAACGACGGTTTAGTTTTAATTCTTAGTTCGAAGAAGGATATTATAGTGCAGGGATGTTAACGAATATAATGGCTACAAATACAAGCAACTTATGACTTGTTTCAGCCAATCTCTAAGTGGATAACGATTTTTGAAGATAACGAGTAGAGATGAGCAACAAATCGGGAACTGCGATTCAATCGCAATCGCAACTTGCGATTGTCTCTCATAGGAAACAGCGACTGCGTATTTTTCTATTTGCGCGTTTCAATTTATGCAACCAATATTATTACAGTTGCGATTTTGTTGCGGTTGTGATTTTGTAAACTAGGACCGTGATAAAACCTTCTATCTGCGAGTTTGAATTTATAGGAGTTGCGATTTGCGATTTTGTTGCGAATGTAATTTTGTGGTCCATTGAAGCATTTTATTAGTAAACTGCGATTAATTTTTTTCTGTGATTTGATTTATTTATAGAGAAGGTATTATTTTTCTAGGGCCAAGATCATAATATACCGGGTGGTTGTCAAGAGTGGTTCGCCTTTATAACTTTTTTTATTTTTTCTGATAAAAAAACGAGATTTGGTATGTAAGCATATGACATAAATTAGGAAACCGGAAACTACAATTTTTGATTTTTAAATGGCATCCTTAGTATTTTTTTTACTTTATTCGATAGAAAATGACACTCATATTATATTATAATATATTTAAAAATCGCAATCACAGTTTCAATTGCTGCCAACAATTGCTGCCTAACAAAACGAGCCTACGATCTAAAAAGTTTTTACCTGCTTTTTTGAAATAAGGTCTGTATTATGTAGCAAATTATCAGATTCATCTCTTGTTAAGTCAGAAAACAAGAAAATTTGTGCAATTCTGGAAAACGGGCAAGTAAATCTTTAAGGCTTGCTCATATATTTCTACCTAAAGGCAAAAATAAAACTGAGGCTGAAAATTTAATTGCAACGGAGTTCATCTGTGAAACTACAAGCACGAATCAGATAACATCATTTTATTAATTATGTTATCTGTGCTACAAGGCACAATGCAAAATTAGAGGTAATATTCTTGCTAAAGAATTCGTCCTTTGCAGTGAAAAATCTTTGTCTGGACTTGTCTGGTGGGTAGGAATTTGCTCCTCTAAAATAAGTAAAAATACGTAACAATTTAAATTTACCATTGTCAAGAGCCGCAACTGAAAGAACCTTTAGTAGATACTTATGGATTTATCCATCGGCAAAGAAAAAAGAAACTTACTATGGAAAGGGCCGTAAAACTTACTTATATATAGTCGATAATTATGATTTACTAAATGGAGATGAACATCCAAGAATGGAGAATGGTAGAGGCTGCTGAGAAAGAAATGAAAAAAAAGATATCGATTTCGAAGTAATAGACTTGACTCAATTAACGGAAGGAGAAAGAAAAACCATATGACAAGACTGAGGATGATTTACCATTATAAACTCTATTACGTAGTAATAATAAAAAACGTTCTTGTCTTTTTTTGTAATGTTTTGAAGTTTTGAAACAAAAAAAAAATAATATTATTTAAAAAGCTGTTTTTCTTATAAATTACTAATGTTTCCGCAATATTACCGGTGGTAATATTACCGATTTATAAATTACCGGTAATTCTACATCACTATGCAGTACTATGCACAACTACACGTTGAATCA